TGTGAAAAATGGTCCATAAGTCACATTTTTCAGTGCCGTTGTAACTTGGAATGGTCCCTAAATGAACTATTGTAAGTTGAGGACTACCTGTATTGCTGTAATATATAGCAAAGGTCCCCAAACTTGTAAATTTTAAGACCTGTGGATTTCAACGCCCAGAATTCTCCAGCCAGCCATGCTGGCTGAGGAATTCTGGGAGTTGAAGTCCACAAGTCTTAAAGTTGCCAAGTTTGGAGACCTCTGATATATATAGATTGCTTGAGTTCTCAAGTTCTACTCCAAGGGGCTTGGGTGGATTCTGGACCTCTAGTGGCTGCTTTATGTATTATTAAATCATCATCACAAGTGAAGAAAGTGCATCTGTCTGGTTTCTCATGACCCCGTTTTAACCAGAGGCAACTTACAGATGAAGGGTGTTGAACATACGCTGGCAAACGGCACGGATGTCTACATCATCTTTGGAGTCTCGGGACACGTCTTGCAAGAGCTCGCCGACAGCTTCAAATAGATCATCCACCGTCTCAAAATCCGTGCTGCCACTGTGCAGGACCCCTGCCCAAAAAAACCCCCAATTGTTAATGTAAGGCCAAGACCCCAAGAGGCATTCCAACTGAGGAATTCGGGCAATTCTGAAGTGTGCAGATGATACAACAGTGATTGGTCTCATTCGAAAATGATGAATCTGCATACAGACGGAGATTGTTCAACTTGCCTCGTGGTATAACCGGAATAATCTGGAACTGAACACACTCAAAACCATAGAAATGGTGGTAGATTTTAGGAGAAACCCTCCCATACTACCACCTCTTACAATACTATACAACACAGTATCAACAGTAGAGACCTTCAAATTTCTAGATTCTATTACAAGACCTAAAATGGTCACCTAACATCAAAAACGTCATCAAAAAAAGCACAACGAAGAATATTCTTTCTGCGCCAACTCAGAAAGCTCAAATTGCCCAAGGAGCTGCCGATCTAGTTCTACAGAGGAATTATTGAGTCTGTCATTGCACCTCAATAACTTTCTGGTTTGGTTCTGCAACCCAACAGGACAGACACAGACTTCAGAGAGTAATTAGGACTGCAGAAAAAACAATGGCTACCAACCTGCCTTCCACTGAGGACCTGTATATTACACGAATCAAAAAGAGGGCTGTGAAAATATTTACAGACCCCTCACATCCCTGACATAAACTGTTTCAACTCCTTCCCTCAAAACGACGCTATAGAGCACTGCACACCAGAACAAGTAGACACAAGGACAGTTTTTCCCGCAAACACCATCACTCTGCTAAACAAATCATTCCCTCAACACTGTCCAACTTTTTACAAGTCTATTACTATTAATCTTCTCATCACTCCTTATCACCCATCCACTCCCACTTGTGACTGTATGACTGTAACTTTGCTGCTTGTATCCTTACGGTTTATATTGACTGTTTCCTAGTGTGATTCGATTGCTTATTGTACCCTATGACTATTACTAAGCGTTGTACCTGATGATTCTTGACTCTTGATGAATGTATTTTTTCTTTTATGTACACTGAGAGCATTTGCACCAAGTCAAATTCCTTGTTTGTCCAATCACACTTAGCCAATAAAGAATTCTATTCTATTCTAATCTACAATTATTTAATCCGGGGTTAAAGAAATCTTGCTTCTTCCTGTTTAACTATGTGTGATGTCTTCTACCGAAATACAAAATGGCACATCTTGCAGCTTACTTATGGAGTCACATCAGACCATGGCTCACCCTACCATAGCTTGAATGAATGAATTAAAATTAAACTTTGGAAGGAAGCAAGAAGAAAAAGGAATTTGTTTTATCTTTGCTGAATGCCAGGCCTGGAAGAGCCGAACCAAACAAAAGAGGAACATCTCAAGTTTTTAGTACCCTGAATTCAACTAAATAGTAACCCTAATTGAAATAATGTAGACTTGCTTCAGTGTAAATACCTGAATTATGGTGAAAATGAAATATGAAAAGAAATCTGCCAAATACTTAGCTGAGATCATCAGGTGAAAGCACAGATGCAGCAAGAATTAGAGAGCGGCATTTAAAAACACATATATACTCTTTTTACAGCATTTCTTCCTTTATAACAGGGGTCTCCAACCTTGGCAACTTTAAGACTTGTGGACTTCAACTCCCAGAATTCTAGGAGTTGAAGTCCACAAGTCTTAAAGTTGCCAAGGTTGGAGACCCCTGTTCTACAACACATGAGCTTTTCGTGTTGGTGCTCAATTTTTTCTTACAGAGGTCACAGCTAAAAATACATGAGAACATCTACTCTGGAATAAGATATTGGACTTGCTTTATGAGCACCCAGCTAATATCTGCTTACATTTACCCAGTGTTTTCAAATATATAAATCATTTCACATTTATGACCTGTAGCGTGATATGGCACTTATTTATCTCCATATTTCAGAGGTCTGGAAAAAAGCTAAGAGCTGTGAGACCTGATGGCAAAATAACAGTTGGCAATAAACTTAACTCTTTCCAGAAGATGACTTTTGCTCACAAACCCCCACTTCCAACAATTACACAGATCTATTTTAAACCAATTTCCAATCAAGGTAGCTGGAATGGTGGATGGCAGAAGTTGTTCAATACGCCTGTTGAAAGGAAGGCAGCCTCTAATCTGAACTAGATCTTCCATTTTCGAGCAAAATTTCCCAAATTTTGGACAAACTGGGTGGGGGGAAACAGAAAGGTTAAGCTAACAGATTTTGCTGGATGAGCCAACTGCAGACATCAGGATCTGCCTGACTAACAACTGATCTAGATGGGACACTAGCAGGAATGTGACAACTGCAGCCTAGGCAGGAATTGAAAAATAAACCAATCTCTAAACCAGACAAAATCAAATCATTTTTGTATTGCTGGCAAGAAAACTTCAGAGCGACATCCATGGACTCATTTTGAGCCAGTATAAAACAAATCCAATCTTATTTTTCTCCTGGACACAGCTATGTATTTTCTTTAAGTAAATGTGAAATGGGCTTCTTCTAAGGGGTGTGAATGGAGGGGTTGATTTCACCCCAAATTCCAGAACTGTTTTTTTAAAATTAAACTAGAGATTGTTGCTCTATATCAGCGTTTCGCAATGTTTTGCAATATGAAGACTTACTTCAACTCCCAGTATTCTCCAGCATGGTTGGCTGGGAAATTCCAGGAATTGAAGTCCACATATATTATAGTTGTAAGGCAGAGAAATCCTGCTTTATACAGGCAGCTAACATAGATGACCTTACACAAAAGGTGCCAGGTTTTGACCTTCCTCGCCAGCATTGGGCAATGGATGGTATCTGCCAGGACTCATTGTTTAATGAGTTGACAAATTTTTAGACAAATTAGACTAATGTTTAAACAAATGCCTTGTGTGTCCAATCACACTTGACCAATAAAGAATTCAATTCAATTCTAGTGGAGTCTTGTCTCTACCCCTCAGTGTGACTGTGGTGCTCAACAAAATATCCATCCCATTGTGTTGGAATATCCATCAAGAGCTTTTACCAGCCCTATGTCTGATTTTTTTTTCCAACATAGACCACCATGTCCTTGAATGGCTGGGTGGACTGAACATTAACATTTGAACCACTAAAAGTTCATGTATTTGCCATTGCTAAATAAGTAAGTTGCTTTATAATCTGAAAAGTCTATAAATAAGAAGGAAGTCGGCTCATCGATTCATCTAAGTTGAGTTTTTAGGCCCAGAGATCCAACCCTTTTCCCTCAAGCTCTGAATTTCACCTGACAGTCCTAAAGGTGGAAAAAATGCCCCAGGAATGGGAATTTCTTAGAATCTTTGAATGGGAGACCACTAGGAAATCTCAGGAATGGATGAATGCAGGAAGTTGCTAGCAGCTGAATTCAATAGGAAGGTGCTTTTACCAGGATTAGAGCTTGGAAATAAAAGCTTTTTCGTCTCCTCTTTGCCCAAGTTAGAGTTTCCAAATCAGCCTCACAAAAAACGCAAATCTCTCCCCCCCCCTTATCCAGACATGGACTAGTCCAGAGAAGCGCTGACCATAGGCCACGCTTCTAAGGGGATGTACCAATGCATTGGGAGGGGGGGGAGGAGATCCAGAAATCTCGTGATCCTCGGAGCCCATCGTGCGATGTTCGAGAGATCCCTCCTTCCCCACCCCAGGAACCCACGAGACCCTTTCAGCTGCCCTCAGGAGGCTCCACCGCCCTCCTAGCCTCCGACCCTCTTCGGAAGCCGGCACAGCCACCCTGGGAACGGGGAACCGAGGCCCAGGCCGATCCCAGAAGCCTAATCCTTCGCCGCCTCAGCCTCACCCACCGGTCACGTATTCGAACATCTCTCCGTCGAGCTCCGGGAACTCCCTCCGCAAAATCTCCGCACAGGAGGCCGCCATGGCAGCCCGGCCGCTGGGCCTTCCTTCCTCAGCCGCCGGCAGACGACCGCAGCGTTGGCCACCGCGGTGGTTCTTGGGAAACGTAGTCCTCCGCTTTAGCCGTAGGCCGGCGAAGAGGTTTCTGGGAAACCGAGGCCGTTTGAAGCTGTGGCGGAAGGCCCCTCTTGCTGCTGCTTTTTTGAGGGGAGTTCACAGCAAAATGGCTTGATGGATATCAACGGTAATAAGCAGACGAGGCCTCTTTTCTCGTACCGCAGCTGGTGGCAATTCCTGGCTGATATCCATAAGTCAAATAAGCTCAGAGTTGGTGTAGGGCTTGGTTAGGAGACCATCAGACCGATAACAACCAAAGTTGGAAGGGATCTTGTAGGTCATCTAGTCCAACCCCCTGCCTAAGCAGGAGACCTACACCATTTCTCACAAATGGCAGTTCAACCTCTTCTCGAAAGCTTCCAGGGATGAAGCTGCCACAATTTCCAAAGGCAACTGCAGGAGACCTACACCATTTCTCACAAATGGCAGTTCAACCTCTTCTCGAAAGCTTCCAGGGATGAAGCTGCCACAATTTCCAAAGGCAACTTCTGTCCCATGGGTTGATTGTTCTCACTGTCAGAGAAAATTTCTCCTTATTTCCAGGTTGAATCTCTCCTTGTTCAGTTTTCATCTGTTACTCTTTTCTGGCCTTTGGGTGCTTTGGAAAGTAGCTTGACCCCTTCTTCTCTGTGTCAGCCCCTCAAAAATTGGAAGACTGCTATCTCCCCTGGTCCTTCTCTTCACTGGACCATCCATATCCAGTTCCTGTAACAGTTCATCGTATGTTTTAGACTCCAGCCCTCTAATTATCTTGGTTGCTCTTCTCTGCATTCTTTCCAGAGTCTCAACATCTTTTTTATAGTGTGCTGACCAAAACTGGATGCAGTACTCTAGGTGTGGTCTTACTAAGGCTTTGTAGAGTGGTATTAGTACCTCCCTTGATCTTGATACAGAGGGATACAGTTAATGCAATTTAGGATTGCATTAGATTTTTGGTGGCTGCTGCACACAGCTGGCTCATATTTAGCTGGTTGTCCACTAAGACTCCAAGATCCCTCTCCCAGTTACTGCTGTTGAGCCTGGTTTTATCCAGTCTATATGTGTACTTTTGGTTTTTCTTGCCTGAGGGTAGGACTTTACTTTTCTCTACATTGAATTTCATTTTGTTAGATACAGCCCAGTGTTCTAGTCTGTCAAGATTCATCTGAATCTTGAGCCTATCTTCTTGGGTGTTAGCTATTCCTGCCAGCTAAGTATCATCTGCAAATTTGCTAAGTTCCCCTTCTATTCCCTCATCAGACCAACCAGGGTTATATGGCTGAACTGGGAAATTCATCTGGAAGAAAATGATGGGTAATCTTTTGGCAAGAGAATGAAAAAAAAAAGCATCAGGAATTAAGGGCAGCTCAACTGACAAGACTTGCATAGCCGATAATAATAATGTCAATTGTAAAAGGCAGCTTTACTTGGAACAGCTTAAATCCTCCGATGATACTTCTAATACAGAGGTCTCGAAATTTGGTGACTTTAAGACTTGTGGCTATGCTGGCTGAGGAATTCTGGGAGTTGAAGTCCACAAGTCTTAAAGTTGCCAAGGTTGGAGACCCCTGTTCTAATACCATAAAACAGTGTTTCTCAACCTTAGCTGGCTGGGGAATTCTGGGAACTGAAGTCCTCATGTCTTAAAGTTGCCATGGTTGAGGGACACTATCATAAAACATCAACACCTGTGTATCTCAGGTCCTTGGGAAGGACTCAATAGGTGGATAAAAGTGCCAAATCTGATCTGAACCGAAATCCAAGCTGACTGTGTGACAAACCATAATAACTACAAGGAAGGACTGGTGGGACCACAAAACAGACAAAAGTAATAGAAAATGAGGAAACTAAAGTGCTCTAGGGTTTTGTAATTCAAACTGGTAAGCATCTGGCCACGTAACACCTCAGACTTTTGGTATTGGTAACTAAGAAGAAAGACAAAAAGTCTGGATAGAGGCTGTGGCAATCTCTGAGACAGAATAGGAAAGAAAGAACTGGAGAAAATACAAGGAACTGTAAATAAAAGTAGAACGACTATGGCAAAAAGAAGTGGACATTAACATTAGTAACTAAACAGATGAGGCTTCTGTGTTGTAATATAATATCAATAGTAATAGATCCCTTGGATGCAATCCAAAGCATCAAGAACACCAGTTGAACATTATTGGCATTCTAAACAACAACCGGGACACACACACACACACACACACACACACACACACACACCTAATTCCAAAGGACAGGTTTTGCTACAAAAAAAAGTGCTTTTGGGATCCTGAGAAATTGTTTAACCCTAAGTGTGTCAACACTGCAGGATCGCATTGACCGAGCAAGAGTCCCTTGAGTAACCATGAACAATGCTACATACTGTATGTGATATTTTAAAAAAATATCAGTAAAAAAATACATTATTTCAGCAAAGGATGTGAGAGAAAGGTATAGTGCAGTGATGGATAACCTATGACACGCGTGTCACTCGTGACACGCCGGGCCACTTTGACTGACATGCCTGTTGGTGTGGGGAAAACCTGCACATTTAGAGGCTGCCTGTGCTCTGCTCCAATCCCTGCTCCCTGCTTGTTGCGTGGAGGCACGGTGTCACCGCTGCCGCAAGATCTTTGCAGCAGAGAACCAGTTTTAACCACCATAAACTGAGGTTTGTCAGTTTCATTACCTCAGGAACGCTACAGGAGGAAAGGAGATCCATGAGGTTCACAGCCCTGTAAGGTGGCCTTCCGATCCCCACATCCTGCACCTGCAGCCCTGAGACCAGGGAGATGAGTTTCCCAGCCCTGTGTGATCACCCCAGCCCAGTCCGTCATAAACCAAATTATTGATATTTCTTGAAGTGACACACGACCCGAGGAAGGCAACACTTTTTCCTGATTTTCGACACACCAAGCTGAAAAGGTTAGCCATCACTGGTATAGTGTAACCTCTAAATAATAGTTTAATTTAAAAGAAAAAGTTTGGCCGTGTTCATGTTAAGCCACCAGATGGCAACATGGGATTGCTTTGGATGTGCATTTCATTTACTGTTTTGTTAGCGTAGTTTAGTGCTTAAGAATAAGTAAGCTATGAATAGACTGTTGATTCATAAAGTTCAGATTTGTGTGACACGCTAGATCAAATCCAAGAAAAGCCACTGCCTAAAGCCCCCTCTGAAAGAGATGGGTGATTAAGAAATATAAAATATAGAAAGAAAGAAGAAAAGAAAAGTGAAGTAAAGGAAAGAAAGGGAGGGAGGGAGAGAGAGTGAGAAAGAAAGGAAAAGAGAAGTAAAGTGATTGCTGGATTTCCCTCTTGGTGGGAAAAATGTCCAGCAGTTGATTTTCCTGATACGACATGAGACTAAAGCATACGAAGAACAGTTGCAAGAACTAGATATAGCTAGTCTAGAGAAAAGAAAGACTAGGGGGATATGATAGCAGTGTTCCAGTATTTGAGGGGCTGCCACAAAGAAGAGCGGGGTCAACTTATCTTCCAAAGCACCAGAAAGCAAGCATTGGGTGGAAACTAATCAAGGAAAGAAGCAACCTGGAATGGAGGAGAAACTTCTAATCATGAGGACAATTAACCAGGAGAACTGCTTGCCTTCAGTCATTGTGGGTGCTTCATCACTGGAGGTTTTTAACAAGAGACTGGACAACCATTTGTCTGAACTAGTATAGGGTCTCCTGCTTGAGCAGGGGGTTGGACTAGAAGACCTCCAGTGTCCCTTCCAGCTCGACTCTGGTTGATGTTTGGTGAGCCTAGGTTTAGGGCAGAAGGTTTATTGCTAGAGCCCACTGTAACTACATAGCCAAAAAGGCCACATTGTTAACCTAATCCTTTGTAGCTTTTTCTCTGGTAATATCACACTACTAACTAGGGCATACAAAACATTTGCCAGACCAATACTCGAATACAGCTCACCAGTCTGGAACCCACATTACGTATCGGATATTAACACAGTTGAGAAAGTCCAGAAATATTTCACAAGAAGAGTTCTCCACTCCTCTGCTCGTTGCAGAATACCTTATGCCACCAGACTTGAAATTCTAGACCTAGAAAACCTAGAACTACGCCGCCTTTGGTCCAATCTAAGTATAGTATATAAAACCATTAAACCATCTTTCCAACCCGTCTCCATGTTCCCAGGGTCTTTCTCCCAGCTTGGAACCAGATGGATATTTCTCCAACACCTGCAATTAGGATGTGATTTACTTATTCTATTGCACCAAAAAGAGACAGACATTTCTTTCCTTTTTCCCTATACCTTGCACTTTTTCCTCTTTTCCCTCCTCACTCCTCTTTTCCCATTAATTTCATTTTTTTTCTTATGTATTTTTGTATTTTATACTTAAATGATTAAAAATGTGAAACTATAGGATGGGATGGGATGTGCTGATCAGGTTTTGCACCCATCTGCAGTGGATGGTGTAACAATTGAAGGAAGAAAGAAAGGAGCTGTCAGTCACAACTGATAATAGCTTGAATTCACAGGCGATATGTTTTAAATTCCAGGCACAGAGGAATAAGATGAGATCCTTCTTCTGGTTGACCTTAAGAACATCTTGAAGGCATCTACTGGGCCATCAGTTACACAGGAAGCTGACCAGAGGTGGTATTCAGCAGGTTCTGACCAGTTCTGGAGAACCGGTAGTGGAAAATTTGAGTAGTTCGGAGAACCAGTAGCAGAAATTTTGAGGAGTTTGGAGAACCGGCAAATACCACCTCTGACTGGCCCTACCCCCATCTGTTCTCTGCCTCCCGAGTCCCAGCTGATTGGCTGGGTCTTCTTTTGTTGCCCTGCACAGGAGAACGGAGCTGGAAAGCAGGTTAGTGGGCTGGGGAGGGAATGGGATTTTACAGTAACCTTCCCCCAGGAGTAGGGATGGAATGGAGATTTTACAGTATCCTTCCCCTGCCATGCATACCAAGCCACACCCACAGAACCGGTAGTAAAACAATTTGAATCCCACCAC